GCCCATCTAGACCCATTTTTATCTTGCAAAGTGAAAACTACGCGACACTCCTCAGCCCCATTCCCCTCAACGTACCCGATATCCCGGCTAAAGGCATAAACAATTATTTGACCGTTCTTATCGGAAGCCGATCGAGTCTCTGAATTCCAGATTCGACCAAGATACGGGCAGCCCGCTCGGGGTGGCCACCGTCACAGCATATCTCTTCTGGAGCCGCGGGGTTTGACGCAACCGAGAACCCCGAACCATTATCACCCGGTTTCGTGTACGGTTTTGTCACCGAAACACCCCAAATGCGTGGGGAGTGGCTAATTTTGGAAACGTTCGCTGGAGCGGAGTGGAATCGGAGAAGCTACGGGCCCTGGGTTAGGGGCCGAAATTTTATGGGTTTTCAGTATACCATAAATTGCTACGATTAAATACTTAGGGCGCGGGTGGTGTAGAAAGGAGAGTCCCCATTTCGAAACGATTACGTAATGCTACATTGCGTGCTTAGACCTTATGCACTTTCTGTCTTTTCCGCGCTTGATTTTGCGTATTTCAGGCGTTTTAGGTTTGTGCCTGAAATACACTATTGAACTACGTTTCGTTTCTTCTTTTTGAGCTTCTAGAAGGTCGCATTTAGAATGAATTCGGCCTTTTTATGAATGTTTTCGTTGTAACCAGTAGAACGAATTAGCGAACTCAGTAAACGCGTCTTTTTTTTTTGTAAAGTAACCATAATTTCAATAAAAATGTTGTGGCAAAAACAATTAGGACTTATTAATTTCAACGCTGTTTCTTTACTTGAGAAACTAAATAAAGATCAGGAAGTTTCCTCGAAGGATCAAAGCACATTTCCTGGGAATACACCAGTGATTTTTGGGTACTTTGTATCTGTTCGTATTCGTTTCTTTAGAATTCCAATGCTCGACACGCCAGGTGCCCTCCCTTCAATGCGGATCACGTTCCGGAACGATTTTGCGTTCCTGGCGATTGAAAATTTCACGGTCAGCGCCTTGCATAAAATGCCGATAAATCCTCGAGGGAAATACATTTTTCCGGAATTCAACGACGACTGAAAATTCGCATCTTGTTTCAACTTTTCGAGATCCCTTCCCTGCAAACCCAGGAGATTTCCTCAGATTCCCGAATGCCATCATGGATCACATTTTGGACCCGGGTCAACTTTTCGCGCAGAAAAAGATAGAATCATCGCGCTCTCGCCAGCCAGCTTTGACCTTGGATATCCGTTTCAGTAAAGCGAAAGATAACGACCGGGCGTATGTTTTGGTCAAAACAGCCGCGAGCTTGCTTAGAATCGGGGCCTCGAAAAGCACAGCCCCAAGACGGGTCTCTTCCAAAAACTGTTAGCGGGAGGGGGTTAGCAGGGGGAAGGTAATTTTAGTTTTCCGTCTATACCTGTTGACTAGAGTTGGAAAACCCCCCGAGAAATACCCCCGGGGGTATTTGAAAACCCCCCCCGCCGCAAACTTGGGTAATTGAACCAAAATCCGGGTTCTCGAAAGTTCCATTTGTTCGATCGGCCGAACTGGTATTTCTGATCAGTGGGCCAGGTCCGCGTCTTTCACCTTTCAGCAAAAGACGCATACCTGGCCCACTCATCGGTGCCAATTCGGTCCCACTAACGAACATCTGGACGGGGGGGTTTTTAAAACACCCCCGCGGGGGGGTTCCTCAGGGGGGTTTTTTAGGGGTATTTTTTGCTCCCCCGGGGGGGTTTCTCGGGGGGTTTTCAAAGTCTACTGTTGACAACCAATAGTGAATTTTTACAGTGTTTTTAGTAGTTTTTGATTGCTAGAAAGCTATCAAAAATGGTCAGTTTTGAAAGATAGCGACTGGGTTTTCTCAAAGATCGAAAATTTTTAATCTTTTTTTTTGGCCATTTCTATGTGTTTGGTTATAGGGCCGTACGGGAATTACTAGCAAAGTTTTCGTTTTCGTTAATTGGTTTTCGCCCTGCTAAAAATCCCCCACTAACAGTCCAGTACCAAAAGCTGTCTAGGTTTCTTTAAAGATAAGATTTTTTCTTTAGAAAAACGGCCGCCCGACTGCCTGCGTCAGAACCGAGGCGTCAGAAGGCGCAGAGGCCGCCCAGATTGCCATATAACAACTAGTGACCGAGAGTGACCAAAGCAAAGTTGCTGAACAGTTTTACGGGCGCTTCATTCGGGGCAGCGTCACCGTTTCCAGATTTTTGTAATACGTCTAACTTTGGTATTTACTATTACTTTTTACGTATTAAAAAAATCGTAAAAAAATCATAAAAATTTTGGCAAATTTTTGGTTGTTGTGGTTTTGGTTGTGTATGAAAAATGACCAAAAAGCAGACATGGCAATTCCGATCGGCCGAGCCGCGCGGCCGGGCCGGCGGCCTAATTTCCATAAAAAACGCGGCCCCCTACGAGCCGCAGTAATTAGTTACTTCCGGAAATGCGGCTTCGGCCGAGCCGCATTTTCATCGCGGCTCGGCCGGGCCGCATTTTCATCGCGGCTCGGCCGGGCCGCATTTTCATCGCGGCTCGGCCGGGCCGCTGCGGCCAAGCCGCAAACCGGAAGTGGCTCATATACATATCGAAAAACCGCGAATTTCATGCCAAATGGGAATCGAAATGAGAAAATTAAGGTTGTCGAGTATGGATATTCTTCGCTAGCAGGCTAAATACGCATTGCATCTCTGATTTACATGCCGGAAGTACTCAAAACTCATTTGGATGCGGCCTCAAAAGCGGCGCGGCTTGGCCGCCGTGCGGCCTCAAAACGGAAAAAAGCCGCGGCCGCGCCGGAAGTGCGGCCAAGCCGCGCGGCCCGGCCGCATTCTAATTTTTGCGGCCGAAAAAGCCGCGCGGCCCGGCCGATTGCCATGTCTGCCAAAAAGGTAAAAAATCCAAAATTTGAAAAGGTTCGAAAACTTTTTTACACTTCTTAGTTATCAAAAACTGCCAAAAAGGCAATAAAAAGACAGCATAAAACGCTAAAAATTCTGGATGGGTATAGGCTTGGTAGCTCTTCCCTCCACCCCCCCCCCCCGCTAACCGTCCAGTACCGTTTACCTTCTTACTATCAAATGGGAACAGCAACAGATATTTAATCTTTCGAACCATGTTGACAAATTTTGGACCCCGAATCGAAAACCGTCTATCGTAAAAACGAAGCCACAGATCCCAATTTATGAACCCTAAACTTTTTTATGACCTTCCACGTTCCCTGATTTCCGGAGAATGCGCGCCCATTGAGCGATCGTGGACCGAAAAGTGTCTTCTTATCGTGGCGGCGGCCCGGGGACACTCTGTTTTCTGAGCCGCTGCCCTTCCCCCCGAACCCGGGATCAAAATGTTACGGCGCTCGAACGGGGCGCTCCTCGTTCGTTCATTGCTCAAAAAACGACCACCCCACCTGACCCCCCAAAAAAAAGAACCAGAGACAGAAAGATAGAAGCTCAAAGGGTCTGAAACTACATGCGGGCACAAAAAACATCGCTGATTAAAGACCCCTTTAAAGGGATAAGGAAGGCTCGTGTCGATCAGTAGTAAATCGGTGGCGCGGGGAAATGGGGGCCGGCTCTCAATTTTTTTCGTTTTCTAATGCATTTTGATTGTTTTAGTGCTTTTTACTACTAAAAAGACGCACAAAAAAAATTAGAAATCACAACATTTCAAGTTTTTTTTGATCATTTCATTCGAATCGAAATTCGAAACAGACCACAATCTTTTTCCTCTAAACGGCATAATAAGCTAACTAAACGGTGTGTTTTTCATCAGGGCGATTGCCAAAGTTAGGTCCCCCGGCTAACAGCACAGAACCTGATTGGCCCCCACTACCCAGAGGCTTCTTCTATTTACCGTCGCGGCGTTGCCCTCATGGTCAAGAACAAATTTCGAATAGCATAACCACCGGCGCCGGCCCCTTCTAATAGGTTGATCAAATAGATGGCCGCCTACTGGAAGTTCCAAACTTCCGAGACCACTTTTGATCAAAGGCCGGGCATTGGACAGCGGCCCTAGCTTCTGCCTCGACCTTCAGAAATCGCGGGTCAAGCTGAAAGAACGCCCCGGCTGAGTCAGCCCGACTAAAAAGAATTTTTCTCAAGATACAGTCGGGACGGCCATTATGAATCGCAAGGGGACCTGTTGAATTATTCATGTCTCACGAGCTGTTTCCCCGTTCCGCGTTTCATTTTACGATTTCGCGGTCCGTGGACTTAGACTTGTTAGACCGGCAGCTTTTAGCTGCTTGAAGGCCAGTTTTTTCGAGGGCACTGTAGGGGCAAATATAATTAATGTAAACCATTTTGATGTAGAATTGCAGACATTTCCTATTATTTATCATAGAAAAACCTAGAATAAGGTTTAAAAGTTTAAAAAGGAAGCTTCCTTTCAAAATGTACTCGGCTAATGATTTACCCATGGGAACCCACGATTTACCCATGGGTAAACCCACGATTTACCCGTGGGAACCCATGGGTTCCCATGGGTAAATCACGGGTTTCGTTGGGTACCCATGGGTTCCCATGGGTAAGACGTGGGTTCCCATGGGTAAATCGCGGGTTTCTCTGGGTACCCATGGGTAGATCGTGGGTTCCCATGGGTAAATTACTGGACAGGAGGTGCTTGTAGTTTACAATTTACTTTTATTTTACTTGCTTTTCACTAATAAGGTGGTACTTTCAAAAGGCAATTGTTTGGCAGTCCGACGCTGAGTTGTGACCCTCATGTAGATCGAGGCGGGAGCATCGGCAATAACTAAAATAGCCAGCTTTTTTTACTTTGTCGTTTTCATAGCTTCAGGGCTGCTGCTTTTTTGATGAACCTACGGTTAATCGATTGGAAGCAGTCGATGGGCGTGTAGAGCAGTCCGTGATTTAGGCATCGAACCTAGAAAGTATCCGTTTACTGCTCAAGGAGCACAAAAACATACTTACTTTTCGTTTTTGTCCTTGCACGGCCTTTATAGTAGACGAATCCCCTCATAAAAACACATCGCGGCTACCCATAGCCCGAATGCAGGTTCAGTACCTAAAGAAAGAAAGAAAAGTTGTAATCCTACTCACCATCCAACCTATTCTTTGTAGCAAGTAAATGTACTCTGAAATTTCGAACGTATTATAGGAAACAGAGGGTATACTTACAAAACCCGCGTAGTTGATGGTGAAGTACCTATTTCTTCTTGAAAAAGACATAAATAAGCACTACAATCCGTCTAAAAAAATTAGATCGATCAGAAAAACATCGTTGCTTCAAAGCCAATCATCATTTAAAACCCTATAGTACGTTTAGCAAACTTACCTACTCCAAGTATTTACCAGTTCTTATGGATATAAAAGTTTATTCGGTGAGAAAGTTAGAAAAACAAAATAAAATGAAAACTTGGGAGAAAATTTCTGAAAAGTAGGATGTGATCGTGACAGTACTATGCACAATTTTACCCATGGGAACCCATGGGTTCCCCTGGGTAAAACCTGGGTTCCCATGGGTTCTCTCCCCCCGAGATTTACCCATGGGTACCCATGGGTAAATCGTGGGTTCCCATGGGTAAACACGGGTTGCGGGTTCCCATGGGTAAAACATGGGTATCTGTGGGTTTTCGCGGGTACCCACGGGTAAACGTGGGTTTTTCTGGGTTCCCATGGGTAAATCATTACCCGAGTATGAAAACTCGCCAAAAACTTGCTAAAACCATAAGATTTTAAAGGAAAAATGCGTAATTAATTGATCGGAAATTACTAAAGGTACCTGTACATAGTAGCTTAATAATAGCAACCAATTAGCAAAAAACATTATCTTTTAGTACTTGACACTAGGGTTAGTCCTGTCTAAATTTAAAAAATCGCCATGTTCCCCGCAAATCGAAAGCACCGTTTTTTATGAACAGCCCTCCTCATCCCTGATATTGGTCCTAATGTGAGGTCATAGGGCATCTTTTTCCAAAGCCTTGGCTGCCAGGCCTGCCTTTACACTCCCTGCCCTAAAATCACCTTCCCAACTTCAGAACGGATCATTGAACATCCGCATGATAACGGGGCTCGTTTCTCTCGATCGAGAGATCAAGAAGTGTCCCCGCGGTTGGGCCCGTTCAAAAAAGCTCCGCCCATTGCTCCCCGGAAAAGGAGTATAAATTTGTGGTCTGGAGCCGGGAGAGGGCACTGGTAGATAAACAATCCCCGTAGTTCAAGCTATTCGTAAACTTGGTTAGAGTTCAGTTTACCCCCCAGCCCCCAGCCGGCACCCAACTTTTGTATCTCGGCTCCCTGTTCATCTACAAGTGTGCAAAGTATACCAAAATGTTCGCCTTGCTCTGGTGAATATTTTGGTATACTTTACAGGCCCCTACGACAACGGGTTGTTGAGATACAAAAGTTGGGTGCCGGCTGGGGGGGGGGCGGGTATACTGAACCACAGCCGTAAAATCTGCCAAACCGTTCGGAAAGTAGGAAATATGGCGATTCCGGCGAAACGTAGTTTTTAGTAGTTTTTTTGACAAAACAAATCCCGGACTTGGGCACTGGCTTTCTAAACTGCGCTTGTTGGCGTCATTTGTATGGCGTTGTTGCTTTTCGGTTTCGCCGCCTCCCCCCCATTTATCTGTTTCGGATTTTTTCCTGCGCACTCCTCCTTCTTGTCAACGCGAAATTTTGGTCCGAAAACATTATCCTATTTACTTTCTGTGCTATTTTCGGAAATACCGCCCAATTCCCCCATCATCTTTTGATATCCACCCGGGTGGACTTTGTTTGGCAGACATTTGATATCAGGGAAAGACAATTTTCCCGGTGCCTAAGAGCTGTTTGCGTCGTGTTGATCCTCTTTCCCCGAGACGCTCCCCCTCCTCGTTGATAGCGCCACCAGATTCAGTTCCTTGCTCTTCTCCGTATACTATTCCGTTTCACAAGTGAGGTTTCCTAGACTATTCAATATTACGTTGCTTGCCCCACCAAAATCGTTGTTTAGTGATGACGAACAATCTTCGCCAACAATTCGCGTGCGACAAGGCGATCGCCGCGCGCTTCAACGACCTCGATCAGCGCAATATTGTACAGGTAAATTTCTTCATTGATCTTTTTTTGGCGTGCATCAATGGGTTTGCTGGGATTTCTCATTTGACAGTAGCCGTGTACTCACGGGTACCTTTCTTGTATCCGAAAATGGGTGCTAATGCACTTGGGGGGGGGGGGCAGTCCGGATTCTGACTACAAGACGCTCCAACTGCCGTTTTTTAAACTCGAAGCCTCTGGAAAAGCTAAGCCAAGCCTAAGCCTAGGCTTAGCTTCATACAAACGAAGTCTAAGCTTAGCTTGAGCCAAGCTAAGCTTAGCTCTAAGCTTAGTCCGAAATGACCCCATTTTGACCACCTAAGGCAATTTAAAGCTCAATTTAAGCTTAGCTTGGGCTTAAGCTTAAGCCTAAGCCTAAGCCTAAGCTTAGTTAAAGCTAAGTTAAGCCTAGGCTTAAGCAGAAAACCAAGTAGCTTAAGCAGAGCGTCTCGTAACCCCTTACTACCAATTTCGGACTGCCCCCTAACTGCATTAGCACCCGAAAATGTTTTTGCTCAGCGGTATCCATGCACAAACAATCTTTATTTTACGACGGGGGCAATATGCGGTCGATCGTTATCAGTTCTTGGCACCCGTGTGTCGCCTTTTGGAGAGAAATGGTGATGGGGCATTACACCAGTCCTTTTTCAGTGCCAATACATCTGGATCGATGGTACCGGCGAGAACCTGCGATGCAAAACGCGCTCCATCGACTTTGTGCCCAAGAGCCCCGATGAGCTGCCGATCTGGAACTTTGACGGAAGCTCGACTGGCCAGGCCGAAGGAGCCGACTCCGATGTGTACATCAAGCCTGTCGCCATCTATCCGGACCCTTTTCGTCGCGGGAATAACAAGCTGGTGATGTGCGAGACGTTGGACAACAAGAAGCAGCCAACCGGTAGCTTTTTCGTAGGATCTGCGATCTGAAAAACTGACTTTGTTATATCTATGCATTTTCCAGCCAGCAGCCACCGCCGTAAATGCAAGGAGATGATGGACAAGGCGAAGGATCTGCATCCCTGGTTCGGCATGGAACAAGAGTACACGCTGTGCGACATCGACGGTCACCCTTTCGGATGGCCGAAAAACGGATTCCCCGGACCCCAGGGCCCCTACTACTGCGGCGTCGGCGCGAACAAGGTGTACGGCCGTGACATCGTCGAAGCTCATTACCGCGCGTGTATCTACGCTGGCATCAAGATCTCTGGCGAGAACGCTGAAGTCATGCCCGGACAATGGGAATTCCAGGTTTGTCTTTTCTTGCCTTTCTACTCTGTTTTTGAATCTTTAATGGCAACGTCACTTTTTTTCAGGTCGGACCTTGCGAGGGCATCGAAATGGGCGACCAGCTGTGGATTGCACGCTTCCTGCTTCACCGTGTCGCCGAGGAATTCGGAGTGCTGGCCTCGCTCGACCCGAAGCCAATCAAGGGCGACTGGAACGGTGCCGGTTGCCACACGAACTTCTCAACGCAGCCGATGCGCGAGGAGGGCGGTCTGAACGAAATCATCGAGGCCATCAATCGGTTGTCTGTGGTTCATAATCAGCACATCGCCTACTACGACCCGCAAGAGGGCAAGGATAACGAGCGTCGTCTGACCGGCCACCACGAAACTGCTTCCATCAACCAGTTCTCGTACGGTGTAGCGTCCCGTGCCTCTTCCATCCGAATTCCGCGCCAGACCGATGACGAGGGCAAGGGATACTTCGAGGATAGGCGCCCCTCGTCGAACTGTGATCCGTACAAGGTATCGAATTTACTTGAGTACAAATATTCTGTTTTAGGTAACCGCCGCCCTGATTCGTACCTGCTGCCTCGAGGGTGCTGAGCGCAAATTGTCCATGATGTATGTGCCAAAGTAATAAACCGTCACTCATCCATATCTCTGTCATTTTCTCATGTTGCATCCCTCCCCCTTTCTGTGCTTTACTCTTCCAATATGATTCCCATTAGCTAATCATAGACCAAATTGGATGCTGGATATCCCCTTCCATTCTGTGAATAAAGATTGAAAAGTTCATCAAGATCGTACAATCATTCGGTAAAGCACTTTATTTCGACCCGTTGCGCGAATTATGGCATAGATTAGCAGACGAACGATAACCGACGTTATCTAGTCTTGTACCAACTATTGACCAGGTCGCCCTTCTCGTCGAACCAAGCCAGGTAGCCGCAGGTTGCTTTCCCGTAGAGCCCAAATAAATCGAGCTTATCGCACAGGTCCCCGTAGATTTCTGACGCGTTCTGTGCCTTGTAGTCGATATGGTTGATGGAACAATCAAGGGCTCCGCATCTTCCGACCGTGTGATCATAGCTAGAATTCCGTTAGGTATGTTATTCGGAGCACCGTACCGGCAGTAGATGTTGTGAGCGGTATTCGCGCCCATCCAGCGGCCGCTCCACGCGCATTCCCGCGGGTCTGATCTGGAAAATGGGGCGTAATTGTTGAAATTAGGCAAGGTTTCAGGGTATGGTCCAGTTCTTACTTGCAACAGAAGCGTTTCTTGAAGTAGTCGCCGAGTATCGTGGTACACGGCTTTCCAAAGCTATCATCAGGCACGCAGAAGCCGGCCATCCAGAAGTCTGAGCATCTAAGGATTCAGGGAGGATTTAGGAAACGCTTCGGGTCGTCTACCTTCCAGTATGGCTGCGAATGTAGTCGTAATCCGACGGGCAGTGATGGTTGCAAAGTGGCGCCGTGCCGAACCAGCTGAAAGTATGGTGGGGGGAGGCAGATACCAAGAAAAAGTGGCTTGTGATAAACTAATAAAGGAAGGGGCGAAGGGGCTTCTAATCCAGCTAGGGAAATACTTGAGTTTGTCTAGGTGAGTGCCTTGTCGGAGTTTACGGCTTGTAATTAGGAGGCTGGGCAGGCTTGTGGTGTGCTTTAGTACTTTCTAACGGGTTCAAGCCGCTTTTAGGCTTTCTTCTTTGAGTTTTGTCGATGCTCCGTTTCCCCAAAATTCCGATTAGCAGGGCTTCGATCATAGTTTCACTACCTCATTTCCTGGTTGCAATTTCCTTGGGGCAAGTCTATCATTTCCAGACCTCACGGTGTCTATTTCAGCACCCATGTCCCGCTCGCTGTGCAAATTGGGATGTGCACTCTGGGTCTTCTTGTTTATCCACTAGGGCCTCCTTCTCCCATCCATACCCCCTACAGCCATTCTTTTGATGCCACCCCCTTTTACGTATTCGTGCCACTGAAATGTGTGTGTGAGAACGTTGAAATATGATTCGGGCGGGGTGAGGTTGGTTAGGTTGGGTTGTTTTGGGGGTGCTGTTTCGCTGAGAGGTTGTCAGTTTAGCATTGGGGCGGCAAAAAACGGCCACGCAAAAGCGGCCATGCGTCGGGAATAACCCCCGGGATTTTGGCTGAGTTTTTAGGGGCTACTTTTTTGGATTCTTTAGACTTACACACAGCCACCCTCCGAAACACCGTACTGGTAGCTGGCCAGATCTTGCACAGTTTTTGCCGTCATTCCTAAAGGGGTTCAGGTTGTTTTTTAATAATTGATATTTTTTTATAGATAGTAGGACCCACCAATCATGCCAGTGACGACGGCAGTAGCTATTGGTATGCTCAGGCTGCCACCATCCCGTTTCGCTCGCCTATAAATTTTGGAGTAGAGTCTTTCTCGCATTTATCTGGCCCACCCTAAAAAGTTGTCTTTTCGACGGCAAAACTTACTTTTTAATATTATCCCAGTGGTGGTATTTCTTGGCAAATTTTTCTTTGGCGTATTCGGCCATTCGGTCGCGCATCTCCTGCTCATCTTCCCAGGCTGTTTCTCCTTCTGCTTGAGTAAGGACTAAATGGTTTAGTTTAGACAGATTTACGCTTTATTTTGCTTAGATTCGCGTGATTAAAAGTTTAATTTAGAAGATTTATATAGCGTATGAACAGTATTGACAACCGGAAGTACGAAGCTTACATCTTTTTTGAGCGCTTATCGTACGAGCAGGTTTCTAGGCTTTGTGGTGTGGTGAGAAGTGTACCTGTTTTTTCCGATTTCTCATGCACCCAAAAACCCAAAGTATAGACTACTTTGACCACAATTCCAAGGTATAAAACCGGGTAATGGTAGTCACGCATTCCCCTCAAAAATCCTTGGTTTTGCTGGGCACAGGGTTAGGCCGATAATTGCCCCCATCACCCGGAGAACCACCAAGTTGCGCATCGGTCACTTTTTGCTCACAGCGCCTGCATTTCGAAATTCCGATTCCTTTAGCGCTATACTTTTTTTATAGCTACTAGCTTTTTTGCCGAATTTCCCAAGTGAAGTTTGTCCCAACCGGTGGACTCGGGGTTAGCGGGCGGAGCCCGCTAATTTATGTTTTCCCAAGAGTTTTTACCTCCGCCAGCTTCTCAAATAAGCCAATTACGCGCGCACTTTTAGTACAATGCAAATTTAGTGAAATTAATATAATTACGCGCTTCCCATCCCTAGTCTACCACTTACCGGTGACATTTGGCTGGAGGACGGCTCGGTAGAACCCGGGCAGAAGCTGAAAATGGGCCGGGTCGGCTAGGATAATGGGTAGCAGAATGGCTGGGAGTAATAGTAGTTGGCGTCCCCTCGGTATCATCTGAAGCCGGCGTTATTTTTGACGGTAATTATCGAGCAAAGAATGAATTTTTGGGTAGAGCTGTAATTTTACTAAAAACAGCCCGGTGTGGTAAGTGGAAGAAAAGGACGAAGCGTAGATACTTTCGTAATATACGGCGTTTCAAGCTTTTCGGAACAGCGTAAAGGACTTGTTTTATAGCGACTTGTTTTTGGGGGCGGCTT